TCAAGACTCCTTCATCTGGCTATGGCAAGAAAACATACATTCTCATTGTATGTTGTTGAGTTGTATCTGATGCTTATACACCTGTTTTCTCCAGGAGGTGGCAGGTCAATGCCTTTCTTATATACAAACAACATATACTCTTCGACAAAGAAACAAAGCTTTCATACTCGTCACTTACATGCCTTAAACTTGAAGCGAATGAGTGGCCGATGCCTTCTAGAAGAGTCTAAACTGTGAAGTATTTAGTTGACTTCTTCTGGCAAATTCGTTGGCTAACTCACTACGCTCTTCCTCGCCGCCAAGTTCGTCTGCTGGTAAACCATCAGGCCTCTTGAAAGTAAATAGGTATTTTAAACTTTATTTGGCCCTTTATTTGCACTAGATTTCAGCGAGGACAGCCTGATCTTTTCGCCATGATCTTATAATTTGAAAGAGCACATTTTTCAACGTTTTGATGTAGAGTCGGTTTTGCTAGTAAGTTGCTATGGGCTTGGGATGGGATTCAAAAGGACTCGCGAGAAGGGCGTTTTAAGTCCACGGAAAGTTTTTTTCTAACCTTTTTAAGTAGTGGCCCTCATATACTGGACCGTTACATATTTATAACTATATTTTATGGAATATTGGTAGTTAAACTTTCGACGTTCTAAAATTGGCTGATATGTAGGTTAAAAACGTCGTTAGTACGAAGTAATGACCAAGTACATATCAAAAGATTAGGCCCCCAAAGGCTTTTAAGTTCAAGAAAATCTACGGTAGACTGAACGGGCTGGGACTATATATAGCAGGGAGATCATAACGGTTGGCATGGAGAACATAGGACACAAAGAAAGAAACCTAAGTATTATATGTCTGATGAGGTATTGACCTTCGAATCCAAGTCGTTTTAAACCTCATGACAACTGCGTAGACTGATTTATTAAAATATCGACTTAGGAAGAGATCTAGAGTGGAGATGTCTCAATTCAAAGAAAAACATCCAAGGAAGACAAGCCACAATCCTAGCCACACACCCCACCTTATCCGGCCACTCGTAATAAGAAGTGGAGAAAGTTTCAACCTTATCGCCGCAGCCATCGGTACACTTTGCAGGGTTATCGTACTAAGAGGTACATACGCAGAATACGGATCCCTAACTCATTAATTCGAGCTTCACGCCACCAGCCCACCGCCATCCTTCCCACAACCTCTAAGCGACTCTCTTCTCCCGTGTCAAATCGACGACTGGCAATCTTTGGCCTTTATGGTTTTCGTTACAGGGTTTCAGATCGGCTCCGCCTCTTAATACCGGCATGAGCGGACGGTTGATTGCATCGGTCGGGCGCCTCCCGGCGTCGCGTCCGGCCATGCTTCGAGCTGTACGCCAATATCACCAGCTGCCTTCTGGCGGTATCCTTCAAGTCGATGCCGCAACTCGGGCGATGCGGAAACGAATGTCGTTCCCAGTAAATTCGTTTCACAATGCCGTCATCGTGCGCAATGCGTCCTTTGCTCGTTTTCTACCGAGGCTCATGGTCAAGTTCGTGAGGATTCCCGCCATGGCTGGCGGAGTCATGATAGGCGGACTGGCATGGATTCAGTATCAAGCTACACGTGCGTTTCGTTGATTGATCTCTATCTTTGAGGAATATTTCTGATATATCAGTCTAGAGGCCGGAAACTACGCCTGGGACGTATTCAATACCACGACAGACACCGTCACGAGCACAGCAACGAACCTATTTGGCGGCGCAAAGAATATTGCAGACCAAACTATGCGAGGATGGCAAAACACCAAGGAACAGATGGATCTACCGGAGTGGATGCAAAAAGTGTTGAGATTACAAGAAGAGATCGGCACCGGAAAGGGCAGCAGCGGACCTGGCGGTGAGGAACCCCCGAAGCAAAGTAGGGCTGGTGGTGCTGCCGTTGTGGGCGCTAGTGCCGCCGCATACGGCTACGACCAGTCTTCCGAAGACGACCCGAGAAGTGCGGACGAGATGGCTAAGGACGACCAGATGATGGTGCTGACGAAGAAAATGATCGAAATCCGAAATATTCTAGCAAGGGTCGGGCAGTCGAGCACCCTCACTCTGCCGTCTATTGTCGTCATCGGATCACAGTCGTCGGGAAAGAGTTCCGTACTAGAAGCTATCGTAGGACACGAGTTCTTGCCAAAAGGATCAAATATGGTCACTCGGAGACCTATCGAGCTTACCCTCATCAACACACCCGACTCGGACGCCGAGTATGGCGAATTTCCTGACCTGGGTTTAGGGAAGGTCTCAGATTTCTCATCTATCCAGCGAACTCTAACAGAGCTTAACCAAGCTGTTCCGGCTAGCCAATGTGTATCGGACGATCCGATTCGACTCTCCATCTCCTCTCCAAATGTGCCAGATCTTTCTCTTATCGACCTCCCCGGTTACATCCAAGTCGTGGGACAGAACCAGCCCCTCGAGCTCAAGCAGAGGATATCAGAACTTTGCGATAAATATATACAAGCGCCAAACGTCATTCTAGCCATTTCCGCTGCCGATGTTGATTTAGCCAACTCAACGGCTTTACGTGCCAGTCGAAGGGTTGATCCGAGAGGGGAACGGACGATAGGTGTTGTTACGAAGATGGATCTAGTCGATCCTAGTCGTGGTGCGTCGATCTTAGGCGATAAGCAGTACCCGCTGCGCCTAGGCTACGTCGGCGTCATCCCTCGTGTGCCAGCAGCAAGCGGATTATTCAAGAAGGGTAATGGAAATGTCACGTCTGCGATTACTCGAAACGAGAACTCCTTCTTCTCAGCTCACCCGTTGGAGTTTGGCCCCGGCTCGGACGTACAAGTTGGAACTTCGACGCTGCGAAAGAAGCTCATGCACGTCCTGGAGCAGACCATGTCAGCCAGTCTCCAGTCAACGAGCGACGCGATACGGCAGGAACTCGAAGAGGCTACTTACGAGTTCAAGGTCCAGTACAACGACCGGCCATTGTCAGCCGAGTCGTACCTGGCTGAGAGCTTGGATGCGTTTAAGCACTCATTTAAACGATTCACCGATGATTTTGGTCGACCTGAGATGCACGAGCTTCTGAAGAACGAGTTAGATCAACGGGTGCTCGACCTCTTGGCAGCAAGATACTGGAACAAACCCATCTATGACTTGACCCCCCCAATCCCCGAGCCTAACAGTCTTGCCGACCTCCCCAAGGCAGAATCAGATTCACTTTATTGGCGAAGACAGCTTGACGCGTCTACTTCGGCACTAACGAAACTTGGGGTCGGTCGACTGGCCACCAACGTGGTGGCGGGCTCTATCCAGTCTCATGTTGATGCACTTGTCGGCCAGTCGACTTTCGTGAACCACCCCTTCGCTCGCCAAGCGATTACGGAGGCCGCCTCGAGCATCCTGAATGACAGATTTTACAGTACCAGTGACCAGGTGGAGAATTGCATCAAACCCTTTAAGTTCGAAATCGATATGGAAGAGCGCGAATGGACGACAGGCCGAGACCATGTCCAAGGCGTCTTGAAGAAAGAGTTAACCGCGTGCGAGGGTGCTTTGAAAGATCTCGAGTCAAGAGTCGGCGGGCGTAGGAAGCTGAAGGAAGTTATGAACTTTGTCGACAAAGCCAGGAAAGGTGACGTGGTGGTCGAGGGTGACAGCCGTAGCGGAGCTGGAGGATTCAGCGCTGAGCTGCTTTCCAAAGGTCTGATTTATTTGGTTTAACATGTCGAGTTTTTCAGCTAACATATTCGTAGGACGAGAAGCTGTCTTCCTTCGGGATCGCGCCGATATCATCAAAATGCGAATGCTAGCTGTCAAGTCAAAACAATGCGCCAGTATCAAAAATAAGTACCACTGTCCGGAAGTATTCCTGGACGCAGTAGCTTCAAAGCTGGCGTCGACGGCCGTCCTGTTTCTGAATGTGGAGCTGCTTTCGGAGTTCTACTACAACTTCCCGCGTGAGCTGGACTTGCGTCTTGGGCGACACCTATCGGACGATCAAGTAGAAAGGTTCGCCAAGGAGGATCCCAAGATCAAGAAGCACCTCGAGGTCATCAAGCGCAAGGAGCTACTCGAACTCGTCCTCGAGAAGATGGAGAGCCTCCGACAGCTCGAGGGCCTAGAGAGGGAGCGTTCGAGGACGGGCGCGAAGAAGAGCAGTGAGAAGGAACGCACTCGCTGGGGGATTTTCTAGGTCGCATATGAAAATAGCAATCCTTCCCCTGGCTACACACAACTTTTGACGAATCATCATGACAGTAGTGAGTAATTGGGACAGGAGTTAAAAAGGGTTACTCTTAGCGGTCTTTGGATTTGCCGTCTTGCGTCTCTAGATATCAACTTTCTCCAAGTCCCAACTCGATTGACGGCTCGTGAGGCGAGGCAAATTCCCTGATGGCACGTTACACGTTAGGTAGGCTAGGCAGTTTATCTGTTACATAGATTTGATCCCCCCTTTCTCACACCGCCGCTACATTTGGTTTGCCACTGCTTTAGTATGGATCTTCTTATATCTTGAGTACGGGCCTCTCCTCGCTCACTTTACCTAGGGGCCGAATTTTTACGTTGCGTTTGTTGCATTGATGGTATGTTAGTAGGGAATTACATGAAGCGAATGGGCTAAGTTCAGTGTCGAAGTTTGCAGGTCATAATTGTGGTTCGCTGGATTGTTATAATTGGGATTAGCTGCGATTAGCTGCGGTATTCAATACTGGTATTCCTTTGAAGTTGTGCCCTGACGGGATAGGTAAAGCTGTTGGGATCGCGGCAAGGTGCATGTGGGGAGGAGGGACAGAAGAGCTTCAGAACATACGGCGCGCCCAGCCAAAAAAATACAAGAGGTATTTGAAGACTGAATTAATACAGGTAGCGAGTGTGTGTTCTAAATGTCTACCAAAAATAATACGGAGTACTTGTGCGCCGTTCTGAGGCCTCAACAGTGATTACCTAACGATCACTCAACAGCGTATCTAATTGGGCCATTGCTAACAGGGACTATAAGCCAATTTTAGCGGCGAACTGCATCAAGGCAACTTGGCGGAGTGGTTAACGCGATGCCCTGCTATTTGCTCAGCCTCTGAGTTAAAAGCCTAGGCATTTCCTTCGGGAGCGCAGGTTCGAATCCTGCAGTTGTCGTTACACGACACAACATACCCATTTTCATTTTTGTCTAATTGTTGCAGGCCTTGTTAATTACCTAAAGTATACTTATTTATGATAGTCAGCTGCCATTTATTTTTGCTGGAAACATGAATTCAACCCATTGCAGCATGTGCTTGTGATGATCCCTCTTGCATTAAGGAGAGGTAGTCAGAATGGAGAGATAAGCTGAGACTAAAAGCGCAAAATCCAATGTCTGGGATCAACACAGATATATGCTATCTATTGTACACTTGTCTAAGGTGTCTGGCACTGTCATTGGACATGAAGACCTACCTTGCTTGCATTGGTTGCCTCTCTATTATCCTAACCGACCTTGTCAGATCGAATTGGAAGCGAGCTTGATTAATGTTCGCTTAAATGTCTATAAACCCCTTCCAAGATCGAAGCTGTTGTCTCCGGTTGCTGCATCCGAAATCTGCCCATTGATTGGGACCAGGTGGAGAAACGTGCTAGATGTGATACAGACTCCGCGAGCTGTAGAAGTCATGATACCTTATATACCCTACTGTCTTAGTTAGGTAGACATGATAATGTTGGCACAACTGAGGCTGCTTTCCAAGAGCCAAATGTTAGTGATCTGCTCAAGTCACAGCTCGGTCAACTCTTGCTCTGCATCCCTTGATGCAACTGACTGTACATTCGTTCGCCCTGCGAACTAGGATCCCTTGCGTGGCAATACTTGGGATGTTGAGGTAACACGGTATGCTTATTGACCTCTTTCAATTGGATACGGCGCAAGCCATAAGCCATGTATTGGGCACGGCAAGCGGCAGAAGCGTGCCGGGGCGATGGGTCGGGCAAAGGCAAGCTGAAGCAAACACGTTGCATGATAGGTCATTTAGGGTCATTTATGAGAACGAGGCTTTACACATGGATTTTTGCCGGGTCCTCAACTCGATTCCCGAAAAGGTCGTTAAAGAGGATTCGTTATACGTTGGACACGATCTCGTTTAAGTTCTGAACCATAATTCTGCGTGGTTCTATGTTGGTATTTTCGACAAAAGGATTGATTACTCTATTTTGATAACTCACATCCCTCCGGATGAAACAAGATCTATCCAGGTAAGTCAAACGTGAAGGCAGCAAAGGCACCTACTTACATCTATATGTAGCAGCATAAAGAATGTGAACACGAGCAGGCAGAGGCACGAGGTTCAATACCAACAATGAAGAAACCCTTTTTCAGGTTCTGATTGGATTGGATTTGTCTTTGCCCCAGATTTGCAGTGCAGCCCGGCTATCTGAAACATCGCTGGACGGTTCCAAGGTTCTATAAGGCCTGGCCCACGCCGCAATCTGACCCCGGCCCCCCGGCCACCCGCAGCTGTCAAAAATACCTTGACCTTGCCTAATTCATACCCTTCTAGTCCTCTCTGGGCCGCACTTAACAGAACGTAGGAAGCCTAGCTGGCCTGGAAGCTCGGGGAGGTATGTATGTACCAGCACCGATGTAATACACAGAGAAGGACCAACTGGAAACGTCTCACTGTCACTGGTAATCTGCGATCTCGCAATCCAGTAATTTATGCACGCCACGTTCTTGATGACTGCAACGGTAAAAAAGAAAGTACGCGAGGGAAAAAAAAGTAAGAAGCAAACCGCATTATTTAAATATGCGACGAGTCCTTTTTCTACCCTTTACTTCTTCTCGTTCATTAACAACGATAAATAGAACCCGAATCTGGCCGTAACGACGACTACGTGCCAATCAGATAGATCTCTACTCTCACATGTGAGAAAAATGTGTCGCTTTCTGGTAATTGATCCCCCACAGTTGGTCACGCGAGTCCCTGGAGTATAATATTGATGCTTGATACAGGTTTACAGAGGCAGCGACGAGATTCTGCTCTCCAAGTTGATTCTCGACCCGACGCATTCTATCCTCAAGCAATCGTTTGATTCGCGATTACGATTGGTACGTTGCCCTTCAGCTTCACGACTTACAATCAGCAAAGATAGACGAATGAGCAAGCACAGAGTATCGCTGATCCTTGCTCCCTGTTGTACAGGATACACGACGAGGCCAGAACAATGCAGACGGCTTTGGTATTGGCTTCTATACCGACCCCAAACTAGGCGCCGCTCCCTGCCTCTTCACCTCTACCATCCCGGCATGGAATTGCACCAATCTTCACCGCATTGCCTCCAAGACCGCATCCCGACTTGTCTTCGCCCACGTTCGAGCTACGACCGAGGGATCACTGAGCGAAGACAATTGCCACCCCTTCTGCCATGGAAGCTTGATGTGGATGCATAATGGTGGCTTGGGCGGGTGGAAACATATCAAAAGAAAGCTTGGCGAGCGTTTACACGACAAGTGGTACCTTGTTGTGCAAGGCGGAACCGACAGCGAGTGGGCATTCGCATTGTTCCTCGACCGTCTGGAACGTCTAGGCGTCAACCCGAGCGCCCAACCGAAGAGTGGCTTCAACCCTGCTGTTCTACGCAAGGCCCTTTTGCAAACAATCCAAGTTATTAACGAGCTCACCATGGCCATTCCCGAGAGCACCATTCAGAGCGAGAATGTTGACACGAGAAGTCTACTGAACTTTGCGGTTACAGATGGCCACAGCATCATCTGCACGAGATACGTGAGCAGTAAAACTGACGAGGCGGCAAGTTTGTACTACTCGTCAGGTACTCAGTGGGACACGAAGCTACCGGTTAGCACTGATCGGGATTATCAGATGGAGCGCCGTGATAAGGGAGCAGATATCGTTCTCGTGGCCAGCGAACCCCTGACGTTCGAGCGAGGTGCGTGACATGTCCAGGCATTCATCTGACTGCACATATAGACCATGCTAACATAATACTAGAAAACTGGGTTAATGTCCCTACGAATTCCATCCTCACTATTCATGGTCAGACAGTGATGGTCAATCCCATCATCGATGGGTACTCGGACCGCGATCCCTACCACAGGCGTTCCTCAGCCTTTGCGCAGACGAAGGGCCTCACCACCAACGAGAAGGCGGCTCCACGCCTTACTAGCCCTCCGCCAACTCAATCTATCGATGCTGAGAGTCACAAGCGCATCCTTGCTCCTCTGATTCCCGCTGGTATTGGTCGTAGTCGCACACCCGAAGGCCCGTCACTGCCTACTCGCAATAAGACATATCTTTCGCATTCAGAGACAGCTGCGCCTCCCTCAGATATCCGTGCTCCTCCAGGCGAAACCTCAAACCGCTCTGAGAACAACCGTCCAGAAATGGGTAATAAGCTCCCCTCGCAAGGCAACATCAAGAAGAAGAGACGTTCCCTCAACTACGGGGAGGCACCTCATCCCGCCGATTTCCAGCTGGACACAGATTTACCTATGATACCGATGCCAGATAGTCCCGTACAGAGCTCCTCATCGAGAGCCCCCGACTACACTACTTCAGAAAAGGCAGCTCGCGTTCTCGGCATGGCCCTCTAGTAACGAGCCTGACTGACGATGCCTGTCTCGGCTGCATCGATTATGTTTCCTTCCCGTATTTTGCCACGGCAGTGGCTCTGATCCTTCGACACGGATAATTGTAGCTTTTCCGAAAACCGATGATGAAAACTGATGATAGAACTGAATTCCTAGGGGCGGAGGTGATAGCATGGCGTTATGTGGGTGCGGTTGCAGCTGCGGTTACGGCGCCGGTGTTGACAGAATGAGTGGCTTCGTGTGCTTAACATAGTGTCAAAAGTTGACGGCTGATTCCATACCCACCTTTGTAATGAAATTGCTTGTTTCACGGTCTGGTCCTGTTGCTTTTCGACATATGATGGATGCTCACGGTGCTCTTCGTACGGGAAATTCCTGCTCTGGGCAATGCTGGTCGTCTGTGTGGTCGGTCCTACTGCGGAGTGAATAACAGGTAGGCCTGTGTCCGTGTCCGTGCCGATGTGCACGTCGAATATAGTTCGTCGATGGCTTGTAGAGAGAGATCTTACATACCTACCCAACGCCACAACAGCTTTCCTTTACCCTTTTGGCCAGACCGTGCAGAAATCAGCTCTTCCCGCTTAACAGTACCTAGAATTTAGAAACTCTCCACTTCCTGTATCCTTACGCCGCTAGACCATGGGGTTCGATTCCTCAACGGCTAAATCAACTCTTTTTCGGCGTTCCTTTTCATTTGATGGCCATCACCCTTCGACCGATAGGGCTTGACTTGCTAATCCTCCTCAACGCGGCCAACTTTCTACGACGTAGACACATTTACACGCGTGCCTCTGCAATAGGGGACATGCATGCGTACTTCACCCCCCCGCCAGGTCCCCAGAACAGTTGCATCATGCGGCGTACAGCTAATCCCATGTATTCAAGGTGGGTAGATACATATATGAGCATATACATATACACCTAGGTATAGTATTTCTATATCCATATAGTGCATTTGCCTCTAGGCGCCTGGACGCCTACCCGATGTCCTGGGACCGTCTACCGCGCGGCATCCCCAGCCCGCACAGCCCACGGCTCCAGGGGCCGCGAAGGCAGCGGCGTCAGACGGCCCCGGTCGCGCGCCTCGTCGTCCTCGTCGTCGGGACCCCGTACCGAGAGCCTTCGCCCCCGCTGCGCTGTCGCGGCTGGCTCCGTCGTGATGCGTATCTCCTGGTTTACGATTATGCCGCTACTGGGGAGGGGGGCTGTGGCGGGTGCTGAGGCGCTGGGGATGGAGTTGGGGTTGGGGTTGCGAGCGGCGGTGGCGGTGGCTGTGGCTGTGGCGGAGGTAGAGGTGCCGTGGCCGTGGCCGCTGGGCTGGACTAGGATTCGTTCTTCGCTTGTCCAGGCGTTGGGGTCCTGGGTTGCGCCGGGGGATTAGTCAGTAACCTGGGTAAGTATTTTGTCTTGGGTTGTATCTTTGCTACTTTTCGGGTTTTCTCTGTCTCTCTCTTGATTGGGATAATAGGGCTATGAAGATGTCAGCTTACCGGCAGGTTCTCCTCGCGCCGCCGGTTACGGCTCAGGCTGCTGAGAGGGTGGCTCCGCTTGCCGGTCC